TTAGACTGGGGTTATGGATTTGGGGGAAGAAGACCACAGACATAAAGTATCATTTTCATCACACCATATCAAGCGTACCTACTATCAAGATGATTTATCACTGTTGATGTTGTCCTTGATCACCTGGCTGGGGTAGTGTTTGTCACGTTTTCCCATTGTACAGTTACTCTCCCCACCTCACCCCCTTTCCACACTGTCCTCTTTGGAAGGAAGTTACTATACACAGTTGACAGGTAAGGAGTGGGGAGTTACGCTCCCCTTCCTTGAGGGCAGAGTATCGACATAAATTATCTGGAATAATTCTGCATAAGACATTTGTCTCTTCTCCTCCACTTATTTATTGATATTTATCAGTATGGATGCATGTATTTTTATTTTATGCATTGGGTTATAACCCAATATTACTTTCTTTTTTCTTTTTTTTTTTTCTCAAATTGTTCCAGTTTTGGCCATTGAGAGCTCTTTAATTTGGCTCCTGTGTTCCTTTGACAATACCCCCATCAACGTTTTTTTTTTTTTCTTTTTTTGCGGTACGCGGGCCTCTCACTGTTGTGGCCTCTCCCGTTGCGGAGCACAGGCTCCGGACGTGCAGGCTCAGCGGCCATGGCTCACGGGCCCAGCCGCTCCGCGGCATGCAGGATCCTCCCAGACCGGGGCACGAACCCATGTCCCCTGCATCGGTAGGCGGACTCTCAACAACTGTGCCACTAGGGAAGCGCCACCCATCAACTTTTAAAAAACATTTCCTTACTTTCTGGAACTAAAAGATGCTCCAGACTCATCTTGTATATTTTCCACCCCAGTCCTTGACTCAACCATTTGTCTAAGGAGCTGTGGTTCCTTTCATTGGAGGATGGTATTTGAAACCAAGATCTGGGCACTAGTTGTGCTCATTGCCCTGGAGCGTCATTGCTGCTAGGTCCTCTCAGCTGACAGAACAAGGAAATATATGTGTGTGTGATACCTGTGTATACACACATATGTAAATATTTCTCTGTATAATTAAGCTTAATGTAAACTCATACTGGTTTATCCAACTCTAATCCATCATCACATTCTTCATACTAGCCTTCTGCCCTTTGCTTATTCATAAATTCCCACTCCAACAGTAAGAAACCTGGCTCCCACCATCCATTCACTTAATTGCTCAATCCTGATATACAGAATTGTTATACCACACCCCATATCCCCATGGGAAACAACTAGAGGATAGTGCATATGTGCACTTCCTTTTGACTTTAGTCTTACAGATTCCACTTGTTTCTAGTGTTACTTAGGTCAGCACCTAATCCCCCATCCCCTTCAGTGAGGTAGTTTTGTACATTGTAATGTAGTTAGATTTTCTTGTCATAGTCTGCTTTCCTTCCTGGGATCCCCTTACCTACTAAATGACTTTTTAAAATTTGCATACATTGACTCACTTTTTTTTTTTTTGGCTGCGCCGTGTGGCTTGCGGGATCTTAGTTCCCCCACTAGGGGTCAAACCTATGCCCTCTGCAGTGGAAGTGCAGAGTCCTAACCACTGGACAGCCAGTGAATTCCCAAGGCTGATTCTTTATGCTAAAAGTTCGGTGGGTTTTAACAAATGCATAATGTCATGCACATCAGCTACCCTGTGCGCACCATTACACACAGAGTAGTCTCACCACCCTAAACATCTCTTGTGCTCCGTCTATTCAACATTCCTTCCCTCTTCCCAAACCTTTGGCAACCACTGTCTCTATAGTTTTACTATCTCTATAGTTTTGCCTTTTCCAGAATGTCCTATAATTGGAATCATATACTATGCAGTTTTTAGTTTGCTTTAAATTTTCTTGGCCATGTCACACATCTTATGGGATTTAAGTTCCCCGACCAGGGATTGAACCCGGGCCCTTGGCAGTGAGAGCAGAGTCCTAACCACTGGACCACCAGGGAATTCCCTATATAGCTTTTTTAGACTGGCATCTTTCACTCAGCAACATGTATTTAAGGTTCTTCCATGTCTTTTTATGACTTGGTAGTTCATTTCTTCTTAGTGCTGAATAATGTTCCATTGTATAAATGTACCACTAGTTTGTTTATCCATTCACCTGTTGAAGGTAATCTTGGTCACTTCTTGTACTTAGTGATTACGAATAAATCTGCTATAAACATTCACATGCAAGTTTTTGTGAGGACAAATTTTCAAATCGATTGGGTAAATACCTAGGAGTGAGATTGCTGAATCATGTCATGATTATGTTCAGCTTTGTATGAAACTACCATACCATCTTCCAAAGTGGATGTATCATTTTGCATTCTCACCAATGGTGAGAATGCTTCCCTTTGCTCTATATCCTCACCAGCATTTGGTATTGTCAGTTTTTCAGATTTTAGCCATTCTAGCAGGTATGTAGTGGTGTGTCATTGTTTTAATTTGCAATTCCCTAGTGACAAATCATGTTGAGCATCTTTTCATATGCTTATTTGCCATCTGTATATCTTCGTTGTTGAAGTGTCTGTTCAGATCTTTTGCGCATTTTTTCACTTGGATTTTTGTTGTCTTGTTGAATTTTAAGATTCTTTGTATATTTTGGGCACAAGTCCTTTATCAGATATATGTTTTACAAAGTTTTTTTTTCTAGTCTGTGGCTTGTCTTTTCATTCTCTTAACAGTTGCTTTCACAGAGTAGAAGTTTTAAGTTTTAATAAAGTCTAACATCAATTATTTCTTTCATGGATCTTATTTTTGGTATTGTATCTAAAAACTTACTGCCAAAGCAAACATCACCTAGATTTTCTCCTATGTTTTCTTCTGCTCAGAAGGCAGATTCTGGGGGTCCAAATCCCAAGCTCCACTACTTATCAGCTTTGTGTCCTTGGGCAAGTTTCTTACCTTTCTGTGCTTCACCGTCTTCATCTATAAAACAGGTTAATAGGACTTCCCTGGTGGTATAGTGGTTAAGAATCTGCCTGCCAATGCAGGGGACACGGGTGTGAGCCATGGTCCGGGAAGATCCCACATGCCGCGGAGCAACTAAGCCTGTGCGCCACAACTACTGTCTGTGCTCTAGAGCCCGCGAGCCACAACTACTGAGCCCACGTGCCTAGAGCCCGTGCTCCGCAACAAGAGAAGCCACTTCAATGAGGAGCATGTGCACCACAACGAAGAATAGCCCCCACTCACCGCAGCTAGAGAAAGCCCGTGGGCAGCAACAAAGACCCAACGCAGCCAAAAATAATAAATAAATTTAAAAAACAGGTCAATAAATAAGGCCTAGCTCTTAGGTGAAGGCCTACATGAAATAAAGCAATATATTACATTTTGTATATGTGAATGATCAACAAGTGCTGGTTGTTATCATTACAACCACATTGGCCAAGCGTGTGCCAGGTGCTTCTAGATCCTGGGTTCGTGTCATCCACATGCTGACCAGCAAGGCAGGGACATTTGTTCCATGCCACAGAGAAGCAGCCAGGGTGCTGAGGAGGCAGAAGAGCTGTCTGCTTCTTCCCATTACTGACCACCTCTCAGCCTTCTCCCACTCTCCCAGAGTGGCTTGGGGGAGGCCCGCGCTGGAGAGTGATGGGGGCTGAAGATTCAAGCTGCATCAGGCCTGGCCTGGGGTGCCTTCTGGTGTTTGGATGATGGAGGTCGTGGCAGCGGCCGTGGGGGAGTGTGAGAGCGTAGGGTTAGAAATGCACCCCAGCCGAGGCTGAGCTGTCTGACCCTGCTTTTCTCCTGCTCATCCCAATTCCCAGTGCAGAGGGAAAGGAAGGAATCCCCCATCTTTTTGGTCTTCATACCTACCAGGTGAGTACAGAGCTGGAGGCGTCGTCACATCTATTCCCACCAACTCCAAGAGGCTTCATGTTTTCTAAGTCCAAGATGACAGTCAGGGTTGTTCAGGAGACCAGCAAACAGAAAGTACACCATTCCCCTCTCCTGGGCCTCAAGTTGAGAAAGTCCCTTGAATACCCTTGCACTGTAATCAAGGTCTGTTTGCCCTTCACCGTAGAGAGTAAAACTGAACTGCTGGGCGAGGTCAATTTAGGATCCCAAGGACCCTCTCTTATAAGTTTGAATAGTTACATGGAACCTGAAGCTCTTCACTCCCTCCACTCATCTTTGCTTAAACCTCTTGGTTTATGCTCAGGTTGTACAGTGCACAACCCACACAACTGCACACAGCAGCCCTAAGATCATCCTTGGAGGAGTCTTTTCGGAGCAGAGCTGCTGAATTCTACCCTCCTGAAATCGGGGACCTCAGTCCTTCCTCTTGCACTTCAGGTGTCCTATTTATTGTTAAACAAACTAACCGTAACTGGTCCCAGTCTCCTCTGACTTCTGCCCCAAATCTTTGGCAGTAAAATGCCCTGAAGGAGTGATTTACCTTTCAGGGCCCATCACTTCCCTCTCTCATTGGCCCTGGGCTTACCTCCAGATGGTTCCTCCAAGATGACTCCCCAGTTCCACCAGCTCCCTTGGCTCCCCTCCCTCACCTCTCTGTGGCATTTGGTGACCACTGGTAGTCTCCCCTCGTGCTGTGGGAATACTCGAGGGGTTCTCCTACTTCTCATCTTCCTCCCGCCTCAGAAACATGGTCTTCCCTCCCTGAGCCATGACCCAGTGAGTCTTTGCAGATGCAGCCTGCCTACCCTAAGTCCAGTCCTGCAATCTATTTCTGTCCATCTCAGTGAGGCAGGATGAAGCACCCCTTCCAGTCGGAGCCCACCAGAGCCTGGCAGTGGTCAGACTGTCCAGAAGGGCAGCAAAAGCCTGGAGTGCTGAGGGAGGGAGTAGGGACCTTGTGCCTTGGGGTTCTCTCCCACCTGAGCTTCCCCTGGCCTCGTCTTCTCTAGCCCTGCCCCAACTCCTTGCCAGCTTATAACTAAGAGAAGCGTCATCTTTTGCCCCATCCCCTTCCCCTCAGCCACAGGTGACAAACTGGTGGCTCAAAACACATTTGGTTTGGCTTACCATACTTGTTAAAAGTTTGAATTAGTTGCTATCATTTTAAAATTAACCAATTTCACTCAAGAATCCAGAATTCTACTTTCTTTTGAAAAATCAGAAGATCTGGCAACACCAGGCCCACACTCCTTCAGGGTGACAACCAGCTAGAGCTGGTCTCAGCTGCTCCCTTTCTGTGGGGCTTGCACATTGGTCTCTGCAGTTTTAACCCTCCTGATGGCCCTTGCCACCCACATCAGTGGCCTGGCAGTCCAGGAGAAGCAACACAAAGGAGGGTAGGGCAGGGCAAACAGGAAGGCAGAGTGGAGAGTCTCAGTTGGAAACCATGTCCCAGCCTCTCTCCATCACTGTTTACTGCTGGCAGCGTCCCAGGTACCCTGCGTGTGTCCTCTCCTGGCTCAAGCTTGCCTCTGGGGGCCGGGCTGCTGCAAACACGTGGCTTGCTGTCCACTGCTTCAGGCCACTCCACGTCCTGTTGGAGCTGGGCCCAGGGCCTGAGGCTTTGTCCTGGGCTTGAGTAGCAGTATGGCCTGTAGGCACAGGCTTCCTTGCTGTCCAGCCAGCTCAGCTGAATGTGCACCAGGGGGTGGCAGCCTTGTCACAGTCCAACATGATGTTGAGAACAGTGCAGGGGGCCCCGCCCACAGACAGGGCTGCACGGGAATCCACGCGGTACTTCACGGTGCTCAGGCCTCCCTCCCGGTCCACCCTGAACTGCTCCTGAGAAGGAAAGGGGGAGAGCATGTACTCAGGGCTTTGCGGGTGCCAGCTGTCCACTGATCCCCCACGACCTTGTCATCAGAGGTCCTGTGATCCCCACAGAAGAGAGGGAAAAGGGACGCTCAGAGATGGGAAGTCTCTCGCCCATGGCTACACATCCTCGTCAGCAGGGGTTTTCCAGTTGAACTAATCTGGCTCCTAGAGAAGAGGCTATTGAGGGATGGGGACTCCTGTATCCCAGGTCTGCCTAGGATTCTGGCACCTTCAGCTGGGTCCCATCCCCACTCCCCCCCACACACACAGCCTGCGTGGACCCTGAGGTCTCTGCTGACCCACAGAGCCCAGGGGCCATGGCAGCCACCAGAGGAGGGCATGGTGCCCAAGCAGAATGCCAACGACTGACCTGGGCCAAGCAGGGGAGGATGGGGCCACTTGGGCCCAAGGAGAACTTGATGAAATGCTTGAGCCTGGTGGTTCCCCATATACCACCTATCCATCCCCGATCAAGGGACCAGCCAGTACCTGTTTTTGAGCCGCGATGCGCTTCTGGTCCCTCTTCCTCCAGGCTGGGTCATGCAGGTGGCGAAATGTCTTATACCCAGTTGTGATTCCCGAGGGGCGGAAAAGCTAAAGAGACCAAAGGAAGTTGGATCAGGCTGCCTCTCCTGGAGCCCTGGCCCTCACCACTAGTCCTCTGGGGTCCCACTGCCTGCCACAGCCCGCAGGCAGGGGCCTGCATTCCCATTCTTCAGGAGAGGTGTGCTAGTCGGGGGCAGGGCTGGGGTCAGAACCAGGGGTGCCATCTCCCAGCCCCAGGAACTTCAGCTGAGGGCAGAGAGGAACCTCAGGGCAGCCATCATGGCTGAAGAGGTGGGGCGGCGGGGGAGCATTACCTGGAGCCCGGCTCCTTTGATGCGCCGGTAGAACTCGTCGTCCTCACGGCCCCAGCCCCAGAAGCGGTTGGACATCCCGTTGCACTGACACAAAGACAAGCAATGTCACTTGCCCCATCCTCCCAGGGTGCTCTTTGGTCTCCTACCACTTGGGAGTCCCTAGCCCAAGCTGGGCCAGGCCAGGCCCCCTTTCCTCCTCCTCCCCAGCTTCCCACCCCACCACCCACTCCCACCCCCTACCACAGTGACTGATTCAGGGATAGACCTGTGACTCAAGCCAGGCCAATCAAGAGCCAGCATGGGGCAGCTGCGGGTCTCCTGTCTGGGCTGTTGGAAACGGGCAGCTCCATTTTCCACTGGACTTGGGCCTAGACGGATGCAGGTTGCAGCTACAACCACCACCTTGCATCCTGAACGTCTGAAAATAAAGCCAGTCTAGAGAAGGCAGAGCTGAGAGATGGAAGGTGAAATGGTGTCCTGGTGACATCATCTGAGAGGCTGGGCAAGACAGCCCCACCCAGACTTTTCCATTTTGAGAGGCAACGAACCCCAGGGCTTCTGAAGCCAGTTTGCCCAGGGGTTCTGTTGCTGTGGCAGAACCCTCCCTAACTGGCTTGTTTGGTCCTGCTCCTCTCATGCCTCTGGCTGCTCCTGGGCTCCCCAAGCAGGACCCTCCATCTGCTGGGCCCTAGAAATGCTGCTCCTCTTGCCACTGCCCCCATCCAGGTGGGTGCTCCCTGGCTCTCAGCAGAGTAGGTGCGCCAGGCCTCACCAGCTGGTAGTGCTGCTTGGAAAGCAGCAGGATGCCACCGACGTAGGTCTTGTAGTGGTAGAGTGGGTGGAGCTCCGGGGAGGCCACGTGGAAGGGCCCGGTCTCTGGGAAGCCATAGTCCAGCTCCTCATTGAGAGGGAGCAGGTCCACGTCGTGCATGGCGATGTAGTCTGTGCTGTTGCTGCTCTCCAGAAAGCCCGCGTTGATGAGTGCTGCCCGGTTGAACCTGTGCAGGGCACCGAGGCTGGGCCAGGGGCAGTGAGCTTGCTCTCCCCCAATCTCTGCATGAGAGCCCATCCTTCACAGCACCCACCCCCAGTACCCATGATGCCCTCCAGCCTGACACCGACTTCATTGTGGGTCTGCCCAGCTGCACATCTGCCCCTCCACTTATCTCACAAATGTTTACTGAGAACCTATTATGTGCCAGAAACTATTCAGAGCACTGGAGATACAGCAGTGAGAAATCAAGGCCCTCAAGGAGCTGACATTCTAATAAGAAGAGACAAAAATAAACAAGTAAGTAAATATGTAACAAGCCAGGGAGTGGTTAAGTGCTGAGAAGAATAGTAAAGCAGGGTGACGAGGATAAAGCATGCTGTGGGGTGGGGGTTGTCCTTTTAGAGGAGGTCGTCAGGGAGGGCCTGTGTAACAGGGTGACACGTGAGCAGAACCTGAAGGCCTGAGGGAATGAGCCCTATGGAAATCAGGGGAATAGGGTTCCGAGCAGAGAAAAGAGCAACTCCCAGGGCCCGAGGCAGGAGCAGATAGCAATGTGGTGAAGCAGAGTGAGTGAGAGGTCTCAGGGAATGAGGTCAGAGGGTGACAGGCCCCTGAAGGACTTGCGCTTTGACCCTGGATGAGATGGGGAGCCACTGAAGGGCTTAGAGCAGAGGCATCATGTGCTGTGGCTCAGCATTTAACAGGATCACTCTAGTTGGGGTGCTGAGAAGAGACTGGAGGGTGAGGGGTGGAAGCAGGGAGACAGGTTGGGAGGCTGTTACAATAATTTAGGCATGAGATGATGATGCCTTAACTCAGGGAGGTGGCCGTGGAGATGGTGAGAAGAGGGCAGATTCTAGATGCATTCTGCTGATGGACTAGACGTGTTGTGTGAGGGAAAAGGAGTTGAGGATGACCGGAAGGCTTTCTGGCCTGAGCAGCTGGGAGTGTGGAGTTTCCACTTCCTGGAATGAGGAAGGGGGCAGGAGAAGGTCAGGGACAGGTGGGAAATCAGGAATTCAGTTTTAATCATGTTAAGCTTGAGACGCCTCTTGAGACCACCAAACAGAGGGCTGCACAGGCAGCTGGCTGGGTATATGGGTCTGGAGTTCAGGAGGGAGGTCTGGGCTGGGAATACAGACTTGGGAGTCATCAGGGTAGAAATGAGATTTGATGTCTTGGGACTAGATGAGATCCCCTGGGGAGCGACTGGAGCCAGAAAAGACGCTGCCCAAGCACTGACCCCCAAGGAACACCAAGGCTGAGAGATCAGGGGGATGAGGCAGAACCAGCAAACGAGGTGGGGAGAGGTGGCCAGAGAGGAAAGAGAAGCAGAGCACTGTCCCAAAGGTCAAACTGAGGTGTTTTAAGAAGGAAGAAGTAATCCACTTGGCAAATGCTGCCGGGAAGTCGATAGGATGAAGGTTGGGAACTGGGCTTTGGATTATCAAGGTGGGCTCATTGGTGATGTCAACAACAGCTGTTTCAATGTCATGATGAGGGTAAATGTCTGAGTGGAATAGGTTCAAGAGACAGCGAGGGGGGAGAAAGGGAAGGAGTTTTGCTAGAAAGGGGAGCAAAGAAAAGAGGCAATAGATGTGGGCGATAGGGGATCAAGCGGGGTTCTCTTTTTTTCTGTTTAGATGGGGGCTATTTCAGTATGTTTGTTGATTTGAATACTCCAGGAGGGGGAAAATTGATCATGCAGGAGAGAAGAGAGCCAATGGCTGGAGTGATGTCCTTGAGTAGAAGAGCAGAAAAGGGACCCAGTGCCTGAGTAGGAGAGCTGGCCCTGGAGGGGCATCCTCGGGAAAGGCGGTGGGAAACTGAGGACACCTGCACAGAAGCTGTGAAAGGAGTCCGGGCGTGGGGACCTGGGTTAGTTCTCTTCCAATTGATTCTGTTTTCTCAAATAGGAAGCAAAGTAATTGGCTGAAGGTGAAGATAGGGAGGAGCGAGGAGAGGAGCGGGTGTGCAAGGCTGCCGTGGAGGGGAGAGGCAGCAGACCAGAGGAATGAGAGCCCTCCTGGGCCAGGGCTCATTGTTAGGGAGATGAACAGTGTCTCCAGCTACATCCAGCTGCCAGGTGCAGGTGTGTAGCAGGCAGAGTCGAGTTTCATCCGGTAGGAATTGTGCCAGGGAGAAAGTGGAAGGGAGTTGAGGTGCATGTGAGGGAGTGACTTCCACCAAGGACCATGGAATCCAAGTTAGATCAGGAGAAAGTAAGGACAAGGAGGATGGAGAACACTGGGAGGATCGTGGACTAAAGGGCCTGGCAGGGTCCAAGAATTGTCGGGTCCACGTCTCCCAGTGGGAGCGAGCTGGAGGGAAAGGAGGTGGGGGTGAAGTGTGAGATGCTTGGATTGTGATCATGGAGGGGAGCAGTTTTTGGTGAGGGCAAGGATTTTAGGTTAATGCCAGAGCAAGTTAAGCCGTGGCTTTGACCCTCCCTTTCCCTAATTTCCGCAGCCAATCCACCAGCAAGCCCTGTCTGCGCTTCCTCCACATCACTTCTCTCCACCCCTTCTGCCACACTGCCCGAGCCCCCATCAGCTCAGGTGACTGCAATGACTGCCCAACAGGTCTCCCTGCTTCCCCTCTTGTCCTGGTATGGCCCAGACACATACAGCAGCCATAGGGACCTTTGTGAAATGGAAACAAGATCAGGGGCCTCCCCAGCCCCAAACCCTCCCCCCAAATTCCTGTCACACCCAGTGAGAGGGGTCTAGCACCTCCCACCCTCTCACTGCTGCCCTGGCTGGCCTTTCATGGGCCTGGGCCACCTGGTACTGGATTGCTGTCAGGAAAGGGAGCAGGCCCCAAGAGACCAGGGCAGGCCCAGGTGAGTGGGTGCTGGCTCAGGAGGTGGTCCTTACCTGAAATGATCCACCTGGTTGAGCACATAGATGTGGTGCTGGATCTTCTTCCTGCTCAGGAAGCGGTGCATGTGGGGCACAAAGACCAGGAGCTCCTCGAAGCGTTCTCGAAAGGGCACCAGCACTGCCAGGCGGTGGGGGCCCCATGATTCATCTTCTTCCCAGTGCTCAGGGGGTGGCTCTGGTGGGCAGGCCCGGGATGGGCCCGGGGTCTCCTGTCCTTGTCCCCTGGCTGCCCGGGCCACGTCCCCAGAGCAGCTGAGCTGCAGCCAGAGCAGGGAGAGGAAGCCCAGTAAGAGACAGGCAACAAAGAGGTGGAAGACGGAGCATTTCCGGGGGAGGCCGCTGGGGATCAGCCTGGACCTGGGACAAGAACAGGGAGCAGGTCAGAAGGGCAAGGCTGAGCCGAGGTCCTGCGACAGACCCCTTCTCTGGCTTCCCAACAAGTAAGGCGCACGTGGCTGGTCTGCCCCAAGCGCCCGGGAATTAGTGCAGAAGCAACTTTAGTGCTTTTGTTCGTGCTGCCACCATGCATCAGAATTCTGCTTAGAGCCCTAGGCTCAGCCTGAGCCCCCCTACCTCCAGGAGGCCCTCCAAACACTCCCAGGTCTCGGAGCTGCCCCACTTCCTCGATGCTCTCTTACCTTCTGTGCCTGAGTCCCAGCCAGACCAAGAGCTGCTGAAGGGCAGAGACAAGACTCCTTGTCTTTTGCGCTTGCCCCTCCCCAAGACAATGGCTCATGTCCAGAGCTGATGGCAGAAGCCCGCCTTAGAGACCCCACCTACTGCCTTCCACCTGCTCCCCTGCAGGTTCACCCTCATCAGAAAGCTTGGCTTCATCCTGTTTCTCAGACCAGAAAGCTCCCCAAACAGGGGCATGTGCCTGTTTCAGCCCCAGTGAAAAGACCACTCTTTACTCTGAGAAGATTAGGTCTGCCCCCAAACCAATGTGAGGCCCAAACCAACAAAGGCAGTTTACTGAATGCATGTCAAAGCTTCAGTCCAGGGCAGCCCATGTGACAAGGGATGAGAGACAGAGAGGGAAGGAAAGACGAGGGCTGGGAACAGCACCCAGGCTCACTTCAGAAGCTGGAAAAACAGCGGAATATCTTAGACTTTGAGGTAGTGCTGGGAGAGGCTGCCTTTCAGGTTATGAAATACAAAGAAATGGTGGAATTCACTTGGTTTCTTTGCCCCTCTCTCTGGAAGTTCCTGAGGGCAGTGAAGGAGGAACTAAGGAATCCAAGAAAATGGAAGCTTCCTCTATTCTAGAATAATCAGCAAAGCAATCTACTTTATAACCTCTGAGAGTCACCAATTAGCTACAAGGTCATACAGATTCTACCTCCTAAGTGCCCTTTGATCCTTCCTCACCCACTGCCTGTCTTTTGGCCCAAGTCTCATCTGGTCCTTGCCCTGCTCAGACCCATTCAATCTCATGGATGATCCTCCTGTTTATAAGATAATGGCCAAATTCCTTGGCCTGACAGTCAAGCCCCTCTGTGACCTGGTCCCATCTCCAGTTGCTCCCTGCTACTCACCCAGTGCTACACATTGGGCAACTCAGAGTTTCTCCACTCACCATATTCCTTCCTGCTCTAGCCCTCACACAGTCCACTGCTTCTGCCTAAAATGCCTTTCCTTATTTTATCTGCCTGGAAGCACCCCACTGATCCTTCAAGGCCAAACGCCAATGTCATGGCTAGCACTGCCACACCCCACCCCCACGTGCACACAAACGGAGATACATACTCCCTCCCTCCTTTGTGTTCCTATGGTATCTGGTACTGCCCTTTTTGAAGCACTTAAGAGTTTTGTAATCACCTGTGTCCGTGCTTGTCTTCTTCACAGGTCATCAGATTCACAGCTGTGGCTCTAGCACAAATCATACAGCAGAGGGCTTGCTAAGTGAGTTAAAGGAAGGGTTCAAGCATTCAGGGCATGCTTGTCACACACTAAAGCCAGACCAACTCCTGCCTCTCTCTAGAGGAACAACTGCCAATCTGGTAGCCAGAAGGCCTGAAGCCAGGCTCAGGCCCCACACACAGCAGAAAGGGAGACTGATAGGACACCCTTGCAGGGCTTCTGACTTACCCCCCCTTGTCCTGTGGTGGGGGTTTCCGCGGGGGAGGAGCAGAGGCCAATACTCCTAGTGGCCTGGGAAGGCTGGAACCTCTACAGATTCTCCCTCTAGGTTCTTTCTTGGGGTAGGGTAGAGACTGGGGAGATGGACATGGGGAAACATCCCACCTTCAGGGGAAGAAGCAGTGACAATTATCCAGGGGTATGGCATGGATTGGGCACTCCATGCACTTTCACGTGCTGTTCCCTCGGTCCAGCTTTCCCTTCCTACCAGGATCACGTCCCCATGGGCACTCTCTTCCTGTGCTGCAAGGGCCCAGTCACTGAACAACTGAATTCAGAGCTGAAATCCCAGTTCCTCAGGACAGTGGACACTGAGAAGTTGCTTCTGGTGCCACCTGCTGGCAAACTCCAGATCTGCAGTCTCAGCTGCTACCAGGCCCAGGCCATCGTTGTTTCTGGGATGGGGAGGCAGACCAGATGAGGTTTTCTCTCATTCATCAATCTGTGTCCAAGGCTAGTAAGATTCAAACCCAGACAGGCTGTTTCCAGAGCCAGCACTCTTTAATTGCTACCTTATCTGCATCTGTTGCATGGATCTCTGTACCCCTGTGTCAAAAGCATGAAATGATACAAGTTTTGTGGGATCATGGTTGTGTTCCAAAAGTTTATGGAAAGGAATTAGGAAATGGAAATTCTCCTCCATAACCTTCCCCTTCTTCCCTCACACAAAGCTTAGTGATACAGGTTTGAATACTCAGCTGCTCTGGTTACAGCACCTCCAAACTGCAAAAGTAACTGGAAGAAAACTGGCACCTTCTTTATGCCAAGCACAGTGTCAACAGTTTTATATATGTGATCTCCTTTAATCCTCATACAGACCTGCAGAGTAGATATGATCCCTGTTTCAGAGATGGAAAAGCTGAGGAGAAAGAATTAAGTATGCTTCTGGTCACATGGCTATTAAAGAGGATTCCTGTCCAGGCCTAAATCCACAGTCCAGGCTTTCTACTATATTTCTGTCTTCTTACTTCAGCACCAAGTCTGAAAAATTCCCAACGATAAAGAGTTGTGCCCACTATATTCCAAAGTCTTTTGGCACCTGGCAAACTTAACAGAGAAAAGGGAAAGAGGTTTCATTCACTAGGTGTAGATCCACTATCAAGTGTTCTGGGTAAGAAGAGTTTTGGGGATACATCTCAAGACTGAAGTGTGGGAGTCCTTTCCAATCTAAACGGCCAACTAGCTCTCCCCCACCCCCCATCCCCATTCTGCTCTAGTGGTAATCACTAGCTAAGGTCTGGGTCAACCTCACACCTAACACGTGGGGCAGGCCACATTCAAGTACAGCTGCACCGGAAATGAACTGTTACGCTGGGAGTACTTAGTCCCGGCGAGGCAGTGGCCAGCCAGGCAGAGCATAGAGCTTCTGTCTGGTGTATTCTTCTGGGCGATCTGCAGAGAAGGGGGAAGCACGAGGGAGGGAGGGAGGGTAGCTTCTGAGGCTACAGGGATGTGATGGGGGAGGCAGAGATCAGAGAGACAGAAGACAGACCCTCTGAAACCAGGGACAGACAGAAAGACAGAGATCCACTGAGAGAGGTCAACGGAGTCAGAGGCCGGCATGAAAATAGAGGCCAGTGGAAAAACACAGAGACCCATAATGAGAGAGACTCGCATAGAGGGACAGAAACTCACAAAGGGAAGTCAACGGAGAAATACAGACCTGCTGAGTGACGGAGACTGGTAGAGACGGAGACCCACATAGAGACAAACAGAGACCCAAATACAGAGAGAGACCCACAAGGAGAACCACAGACCCTCAGAGAGCCCCGCAGAGACGAAGACGCGACGGCCTCGGGCTCCTAGATTCCGCGGGGCGGCCCGGAAAGGATCGGCACCCGGGAGGACGGCGCCCGGGCCGGCCGCCGCCGCTCACCTGCCGTCCTCCCAGGGCAGCTGTGTCGTTTTCCTCCGGGAGGGGAACATCGTCGGGGGAGGCGGCGGCTCATGGGGCTCGAGCTCCCTGCCGGGCCGGCCCGGCCTCCCCGGCCTACGCGGCGCCTCCGCCTCCCGCCCCGCCCAAGCCAGTCCGCCCCGCCCCTCGGTCCACAGGGTCCGCCGCTCCGGCCGCGCCGTCTGCTCCCCGGAGCTGCGGCGTCAAAGGTTCCGCATCCAGAGGAACACGTGAGCGCTCCAAACGCCTGAACTGCTAACTGCTTTCCGGGGTCCGCTGAACATCCCGAGAAATTGAGGCCCCGGAGAGGGCTCAAGTCAGTGGACTTGGACTGGATTTATAGACTCCAGACTTCCAAACCAGCGCTCTGGGATAATCTGCATCTTCCTCCTCTTCCCAAGGGAAGGCGTCCAAGTAGTCCTGCCGTCAACTCAAGTGCATTCTTTCTCCGCAGCGAGCTTGGAGGGCGGCAGGGCCAAGCTCAGGGCTCAGTCTTGCGTTCAGCCTGACACCTCAAGTGACACCCCAAGTAGTAGTTAGGAGACAGGCACTAAAGGCAGATTGGCTGGATTTGAAACCTGACTCTGCCAGTTCGGCTGTGTTTTGGGGAACAGCCTGCTTCTGTTTCCTCATCTGAGTATATAAATGGTTCCTGATTTATATGGTTGCTGTGAGGATTAAAGGAGAAAATGCAAAAACTTGGTACAGTGATGGGCACAATAGTCAACGCTATATAAATGGCAGGTATCATCCAGGAGAGGAGTACTTTGGTGGAGCTGAGAACTGAAGAAGGGAATAAGATTGACTTCCCATATCTGCCCTGTCACTGTGAGAACTTAGGCCCCAGCTGGGCCAGCTTCCTACCTGGGAAAAGAGAGTGGCAAAGTTATTAGACTTGATCTCCTCTGTTCTTCCAGGCACATTTTAAGTTTCCTAATAAATAACATCCATTGAGTTCTTACTATGTGCCAGTCATTTTTCTAAATTCTTTACTACTGTTATCTCAATCTGTCCTTATGAGTATTGTACTTATTATGCCCACTTTAAAGATGAGGGAACTGAAGCACAGAGAAGTAATTCAGAATGTAAGCCCAGGTAGTTTGGTTGCACAATCTATGGTCTCAACCACTCTGCTTCTGAGAGGACTTCACTATAGTAGGTAGGAAATTAATCATTCCCAGGAGCCCCCTTTCACCCAGCATACAACCCACCAGTCCCCTTACTTCTAAGCTCTCCCAGGGCAGTGTACCTTATACCAGAACCTCGAAAAATCCAGCCTAGATTTGGCTGATGACAAAGTCAAGGCTGACCCCTGCAGAGACAGTCAGGTAAGGCCAAAGATGGAAACTGGGAGATGGGCCTGACCTGGAAAGCACAAGCCCATCTTAAGGGGATAGCTCCCATTCAGTCCAGCTAATTGTTGTCGCATCAGGATGAAGCCCCACTAGTATCAGATCTAAGTCAGGTTTCATGTAAAAATCCAAATTAACTTATTTTAAACTGTGACATCCACAATCATGTTGATAATTAGTACCTTTAATATGATGGGATGAGAATGGCACTTCCCTTTTGTGGTCTTTCAAAAACCCAGGACCCCAGTCTAATCATGAGAAAAACATCAGACCAATTGCAATTGAGGGAAATCTACAAAATGCCTGACCAGTATCCCTGAAAACTGTCAAGGTAATAAAGGAGGAAAGTCTGAGAAACTGTCACAGCCAAGAGGAGCCCAAGGAGACAACTAAATGTAACAATGGTATCTTCTAGATGGGCTCCTGGAACAAAAAAGACACTATGTAACAACTAAGGAAATCTGCATAAAGCATGGACTATCACTATTGATTCATTCATTTTAACATTAACAAATATACCATACTACTGCATGATGTAAACTATCTTCACAATTTTTCCGCAATTCTAAAGCTGTTCTTAAAAGTTTTTTTTTTTTTCCCTAAATGTGGAGGTCTAAGTGGCTATATGAGCTCAGACTACATTCTCCTGACAGTTCAAGTAGTCCCCAAACTTGCCTCCCCACCCCATCTCCTTCTCACACACTGTTGGATTAACCTTCCTCAGTTTATATTCAGGGTGTTCTAATACTCAAAACTTTGTTGAACACTGGGTTATATCCAAATCTCTTACCTGGCGTTCAAGGCTCTTCTAACTCTAACCAACTTTTCTTTCCAGCTTTCTTACAACCCCGCCCCCTCAACTCCAGCTGAAACAATGCCCATCTATCTGCATACCAGCTGTTTGCCTGTTTTCCTCAACCACCCCTGTCCTGCCTTCTTTCATCAGAATCCTTCCTCTCCTTCAAGGTCACTGCTGAGATCCCATGCTATTGGTTAAGTCCATCAGTATCCCCCTCCTGCCCCCAACTCAGGGATTCCTGTCCTTTCCACACCTGCAGCATTCCTCTGTTCAATGTGCAGTACCTTCACTAACTAGGCACTTCCTTGAAGCACCACAACAATTCTGTCCACCTACTTTTCACTTGTTAGATGGTCTTGGGCAAAACCACCACCCACTGTCACTGGAGGGTATGGAGAGGATGAAAAGTATGAAGTTCACAGGTGGGTACACAGAATGTGAAGTGCTTTGCCCATTGGAAAAACTGACACTCCCTCAAGCACATTGCAGTGCTATGCCCACTGACAGTAGAGTAACTTTACACTGGACAAGAAGTTAATTTTTTTTATTGGGAAACCAATGTAACAAACCTAAACTTATTGAAAATGAAATCAGTAACTAAGACTCTGCCCCATCCCCAACCAGCACCAAGGCCTCTATTTGGCCTAACCCCAGTTTCTCTAGTCCCCAAAAGAACCACCACGTGAAGAACCTGGGGTCCACCTCAGGCTACCTTCCCACAACTCCCTCTACCCCACCCTCAATGGACACACACACCCCGGATCAGCAGGCTGGGTCTAGGCCCAAGGAGGGAATAGTGAGGTTTCCTGGGTGGCAGGGAATCACGCCCCAACTTGGTCAAAATTCCAAGTTAGGAAAGGAAGACAGAAGGAAGACTTGGCTTGCCCACCCACTCCCCTCCCCCCAGTCATCCCAGACAATAGGCTCACATCCCTGATCAGTAACACTGTGATTCTGAGGTGTCAGTAGGGCTCTCAGTGGCTTCAGATTACAGCAAAGGGCCCAGGGGAGGGGGCAGGCATTTACCCTACCACCTGCTCAGTATTAGCCAGCCAAGCTGCTACCCTCAGCTTGTGCTGTGGCCCCTCTCCCCTGCAGACACCCATGGCTGGGGACCAGGCCTCCTGCCGGAGAGAAGTCAGTCCAGGAGGCCCTTGCTTCCCCAGCCAGGGAGGAAGGATGGCCTGGGAAGCCTGGGACGGCTACACCAGCTTCTTGGCTTCAAAGAAGCTCTTGAGGTGTCGCATCTGCCAGACGCCGATGGCTACGAGAATGAGGGTCTGCAGGATAGACCACCACAGCACCCTCTGGTTGGTGCTCTCGCTGGTCTGCCGGAAGCGTTCCTCTCGCCACTGTGGGAGGGGAGAAAGGAAGACGAGCCTGAGTTGGCTGAGCCCCACCTGGGGCCACTAGAACTGCTGGGTTCCCTCCCCAGAGGATGTCCCAGGGCCAACTAACTTTGCCCAGGTTCCAGTCAAGTGCCCAAAAAAAGCCACCCCACCTGGGAACTGTCTTCACCCTCACCAGCCAGATGACCTCAGGCAACCCACTCATTTCTCCTAGGTCTATTTGCTCATCTGTAAGGTACAGCCTTACCTGGTCCTACCCTGATGCCTGTGGGAGTGGTAAAGTGGCTGTGGTATCACCCTATCAGACAGAGCTGTCCTGGAACGCTCAGAAGTGGACTTGCTCTGAGCCCTCTGCCTGGGTCTCCCAAACTGCTCCTTGAATATTGTGTGCACAGGTTGCAAATTGGTGGTCCAGGGGCTGGATGGAGCCCATACACGTTTTTGTTGGCTCACACAGTGGTTTGACAACATTTAAAACCCAGAATTTTTTACATAAAAAACCGGGACCTCTAAGTGCCTCTTAAAACCCTGGGCTAGCAATTCTGCAATGCTGCCCTCAGCTGACCACAGTAGCTGTTTCCATTTAGATAGGTCACTATTCTACCCGTCATTATGGTCACAGATCCATTCATAGTACCTGCCTGCCTCCTGGACACAGGAGAGATTAAAACCCTTGATCCTGGGAGCACTGAGAACCATGGAAATAACACCCAAGGTGTTGGTATCAATTCCTGCTCTGTCATTTTGTGTGTCTCCCAATAAGATAATGACGGCCCCTTAAGAGACTGCCTCCTCAATTAAAAGTAGTTAGTAATACCCATCCCACCTTTTAGACTTGCAATGCAGCACAGACATGTAAATCCCTTGGGTTCATAATAAATCTGACATGTGACTCCTGGCTAAGTCAGTGTGCAGCTTCTGGGAGGAAGCTCACTGCTCCTGGCTCAGCCACTCACCCGCTGGTAGTTCTGCTCTTTCTGGATCTGCTCTACTTGCTCCACCAGCTGTCGCACTCGTAGCTGCAACTCACTCAACTTGTCTTTCGCAGCAATTTCTGCATAGTCGTTGGCATGTTCACCTACCTGGATGTCCAGATGAACTCTCTGGAGACAGACAGACAAGGAAGATAGGAGAATCAGGTAGCCCTGCTCTGTCTTCCTGCCAGGGCCTAACAGCTGGTCCTCCCACCTTTCTTCATTTGTTCATTTAGCCAACACTGACTAAGGCCTCCTTAGTGTCTGGCCCTATGGGGCTCTAGGCCCAAGGGCAAGAATAAACCTTGGCTGATACTCTAACCAAAGCATATACAAAGAGCTCCGTAACCACACCCTGAATGTTCACTGGAAACCCAG